TCTCTGCCATAATAGTTATCATAATTCCCAGCATCAGACAATGGACATGGTACATTCTCAAATGTTTCGTATGCATCGTAGTCAGGATCATCAGTAAGTTCTGCCATTCTCCGATGGAAAGATAAGTCGGGGTAAATAGCAGGTGTGATGAGACCACACTAGATTTGCCAAAAGAGGGCAAATTTTGCCAAGTGAAATGTAAACAAGTCAGAAGTTGTGATAGGGCGGGAGTTGGATAAGAGGGTAAAGAGTTGATAGATGGGTCAAGACAGTGTAACCGTTTTCGGCAAAAGGTTGGTCGAGGGATTGACTTACCTTTTCTCAGTGACGAGTTAGTAGCATGGTGTGGAGAATGGCAGGACTCACTGATTATGCCGGCGAAACGTTTGAGAAGGTACCAAGCCCACTGTCTGATGCTGGTAATTATGATAACTACCGTAGCAGAGTTCGGACTAGGCGATTTCTACTAAATATTCCGGACACGACCAAATTGCGACAACAAGGTCAAGCCACTTATACAAATCGAAAGGAGACTGCGACCATAACGGAGGCTACACCATCTTGGTCTTGATATCTTTGATTAAGTGTGAAAATATTCATTATCAGCTCTGGCACATGCGCAAAACTTATAGTATAGACCAGGCAGGAATATAGGCCTTATAATTGTAAAGTCCATACACTTTCAATCAATCTATTAAATCAAACACGCAATTAGATCTGCATTTTATGGCTTGAGTTAATGAGATTCGCAGAAAATTAATTATGCAAAGACCTGAATGTAGTGAGTGAGATAATGTTCGTGTTGATTAATAGGCATAAAAATAATTGAAGGTATAAAGACCGAGATGGCGTGATATTTTGTGTGGCCGCAGTCTCTTTTAATGGTAAAGAAGTTGTTTGACCTTGTTTTCGCAACTCGGTCACATTGGTAAAAAGACTTAGAGATATGTCCGGAGTCCATTGTATGCAAGAATATTTCCAAAGTGGTATCGTGGACGTGGTACTTTCACAGACGTTTAGCCGGCATCGTCAGTGGGTTTCGCCATTCATAGCACCATAGAACAGCTCGTCAGAGACAAGTGAAGCGCATTCTTTGACCAAACTTGTACTAAACAGTTGTGGTATCTTCCCTTCTGTCTAGGGCTATTCACATATATATCCTCATATCACGCCTCCCCTGTCACAATTTTTACCGTGCTTATTTTGATGTAGTGTGATGTGATCCTTCGAGCGGCATTTATAAAAACCCTTCACACTCTACATTGTCTTTCTCACTCCCTTCACTCTTGTGCTGGGAATGTTGAGCAGAGACTGTTATATTGTTACGTAGTCCTTCCCTGTGTCCTATCAGAGTCTCCCTCTTGCCCTGCAGAATCCGTCTGCAATCTCCATAGTACACGTATTTCACTCAACCCATGTCTCCCCATCCCTGCTACTCGAGCCGTTATTCGTCCATCACTTGCACCAGGACAATTAAAGGCTAAAGCATCAGAGTGACCAATTCAAGGCTCAGGCCTCTAAGTAAGTCTCACTGTCACGCCTTTGCTAGATGGATCACATCTCTGGAAAAACCTACTATCAGCCAACTAGCTCCAGTCTCCGCCACGTCTATTCTGTTTCTACCCCTAATAATAAGACTATGACTTCACATTCCCTAGTCTCTTGGGTTTCAACGTACAAATGTTGTGGCACTGCTTGCTTTTATTAGGTTTAAATGTTGAACCACAACGTTTGTGGCTTGGCACACAAGAGACTAAGGAATAGCAATGCATAGACTTGGTATTATAGATAGAAAGAGGATAAAAGCAGTGGAAGCTAGAGCTAGGTGGTAAACAATTGTCGTGATTCAAGGATCACGTATATAATCAAACACGTCTATTGTTAACCAAATAGCTTTAGTCTCCACCTAGTTCTTAGTATTTCTATCTGTAATACCATGTCAATCACTTTCTACGTCCTAGTCTCTTGTGTGCCAAACTACAATTGTCGTGGTTCTACTTCTTTTGATTAGGCTCACTGAAGACGTCTCCCCATTGCTTGTGATTGTTCCTTTCTAGTCCCCCTGCGATCTCTTTTCCTAAAATAAAGGATATTTGCTTGATCAAGTCGTCGTCTTTTTGCTGACATTACGGTTTCGTGATTAAACTGGAAATAATCCCATGGATACTGACACATCAAGAAGGGATACACAAGAGCAGATTGGCTGGGATACGGAAAAAACTAGAAAAAAAAAGATCAAATAGGGACGGTTGTAATGGACAGAAAACACTACATGAAGAAAATGGAAAGTATGCTAGGCGACCGGAACACTTATCAAGTACTAAGGAAGGATCTAACCATGAAGATCAACGAGACACTGAATAATATGCTCAAGGAACTGCATAATAATAGGGAAATTGAGATGATTGATGAAATATTTAATAAAAAATGAGGCAAGACCACTGACCGCCTACGGACCACCGAAGAAATACAAGGAAGGAAATGCGCTAAGACTAATAGTTAACAATAAGCATGGAGCAATACACAAACTAGCGAAATTCATTTGCTTGAAGCTCAAGAAAGTTAATGACAGACTCTCGAATACCGTTGAGAATTCATATGAATTTTCTCAAAGGATCCAGAACATTCGGTTGGTGGGGTCGGAACTGTTGGCAATATTGGAGCGAGAAGACGATAAACTAGGGATACAGAAACATTCGTTATCATAACTCATCAACCTGACATTAAGGACCACGTATTTTACATTGAGCGACAGATCCGAAATAGCGGAACACATTGCACAACGGGGCACGACATCGACTGAAAATCGACCAAAAGGTTGGCTGCATATAGTGAAAATAAGAGAAAACACAAGAACAGAGGCCATCAATATACTGGCCGAGAGAAATCTAATGAACTGGAGACTTGAAGAAGGCAGGATCAGCGAAAACTTTGCATATTGCCTAAACAAACTCGGAGAAAACCAAGCAACAGCAAGATCAGCAAAAAAAGACGACTGGATCAAGGTAATATCCATTAATCGAAGGTATAAAGACCAAGATGA